GAGTAGAATTCGCCCTTCTGGACAGATCACACAATGCAAGCTTCTGTGGATGGATACCTCAAGCTCCACATGACAACAGGACCATTTGCACCATGACAAATATCACCAAATTAGATCTATTAACTTTTTTCCACTACTAAGGAGAACTGTGCTATTTGCATGAGAGAGGGAAGCTTTAATGAAAAGCAACATGACTAGAGGAAATAGAGGGATGAAAGAAAATGTGAGCACCCTCCTCTCTGTAGACACTGCCTGCCTACACAAAAAAGCAAGGAATCTCCTCCAGTAGCAACCTACCACCCCAGCTGAAGAGGATAAAGGACACAGCAGTTCCCTTTTATCAGCTGTTCCTGACCCAAGCCTGAAAGTCCGTGAGATAACATGAGCATTGAAGGAATTTTAGGATTAGTCTTTTCTGTCTTGGCTCAGTGCCAAACCGATTGGGGAGCACCACTAGGAGATGTGAGGTAAATTCCTGATTAATGGGGAAGTGAACTTGTTCATCTTTGCTTCTGCTTACAGCAGCTGTGGACACATCCCACGGGACAGTGGGAAATAGGAGTGTTTCTATCTCTGTAAATAGGGGGTGATGATCAGGCAGTGTTGACCTCCAATACACACATGCCAGATGGGTTAGTATTTACCATCCACCACCTACAGTTGCAGCCTGGGGACTTTGGGGCAGGATCGCTGGGCAAAATCATATTCAGACCAAATTCTCATGAATAACTGGATTATTTTGGATACTCTCTGTTTAATGTCTAAACCAACAGATGACCAGAGCTTAGAAACTGCTAAGTAGTAAAGTGAGGCATGAGCCATGCATAAAATCAGTGTCACCCATATGAGCAAAATGGACCTTTGCAAATCCCTGCAGTAAGATGCTGCTTTGTCAATTTAGGTCTCAGTAACTTCTGGGAACTGAACTGAAACAGAGTAGAATAGAAACTAATTTCCACTCCAGAGAAACCACTGCAATAAAATGTGCCAAAACAAATAAGATGCAGCAGAAATGCAATAGATAATAATTGTTTTTGAGAGTAGTTTTCAAGATAGCTCCATCATGATGAATTTTCCTGACAACACATTGCTGGAAGTTGTGTCTTGCTCCGCTCTAAATGAGACCACAGGTTGGCTGCTTGCCAAGCTTGTGCTCAGTATGATGCTGCAAGGGGCTCTGACCTCCCTGGCAGACCCTGAGTATATCTCTGTCACTTCAGTTTGACCAGTCAACCTGTCAAGGTTTCTCTGCTGCTGGTCTGATGAATAGATTTTCCTGGAGTCCTTCAGAGCTACATAGCAGAACACTCAGGAAAGATGCCCCTTTTTATCTATTAGAAAAATAAAATATAAATAATAGTATAATAATAAATGGAATTTTAATAGTCTCTAGAGAACTAATTTATGCCATTCTCTTCCTGATCTGATGATGGGTTTTGTTTAGATCTCCATGTGACAGTCCTGTATGTTGTTTACTTATTCCAGCTCCACAAGAGCACTACCTTCAAGGGAATGAGAAAGAAATGCAACCTCAATGCATGGCACAGACATTTTACACAGCAAGCAGGACAGCACACAACAGAGGATTTACTGTGAAATCATCTTGCAATCAGCATAGGATTGTTCTCTATAGGCCATTCTTGACAGCAGCATGTACTTCATGAGCAGTTACACACCAGTTTTTAAAACCAAGGGGAAAAAATGTATATTGGGACTGTTTTTCAGCCCGTTTGTTTTTTGCATTCTGTCCCATGCTGGTTTTACAGATCTTAGAATAAAAAATGTAAATGAACAACCTGGATACTCTGACAAAAGAAAAATCTAGGATTAGAACATCGTCTACATTCAAGCCACCAAATACTATGACAGAAACCGTGTTTACAAATCAGTTATTTTTTATTTTAAATCTTTCTGAGGGGAGTTACATTATTTACCATATATATTATATATATATATATATATATATAAAGTAAATAGAGAGATTGTTTATTTGTAAATAGAAAAATTCTATGGAGAAGAATGTCAAGTTTTCACACTTTAAAAAACAATCATCAACATAAAGCCATGTTTAATGCTTGTATAATGTGATGTAATAAACCTTAAAAATAAATTATGCACATGAAATATTTACTGCTTGTAATTCATGTGTTTCTTCCTGTTTACCTTATTTGTTCAGCAAGCAAAATGACCAGTCAGATAGAAGTAAAATTTAAATACAGACCAAAAAGAGACAAAATCTTTCGCTGTTTTCTCTCTGTGGTTGTGTATTCACAGAGTCAAATGTTGTTACTGTTGTGGGGTTTTTTTAGGGCTGGAATTTTTTAATGTTTTTATTTAAACAGGTTCCTAATTGTTTTGTTTCATAACCCTGCAAGATGCTGCATGTAATTTGGACACTGTGGAGTGCTCCCACTCCTGTGAAATGCATCAGTTTTGAGCATCCCACATTTCTTAATCAGGTGAGCTTTTAGCTGGGAGAGATGAAGGATCAGGGAGCAGGAATATGGTGGAGAGTCCAAGAATTATCTTGCTTTTACACAGACAAGGAAGGCCTTGGCTTAGTGTTCAGATAGCAGAGGACAGTAGACTTTCCCAGAGAATATATTATTGAAAATCGGTGAATTGTTTTAATTAATGAAGCAAATTAAGAAGACTATAGAAAAAAATAAAGCCAAAAGAGTTACTTTATAGCTCTGCAGCAGTCACAGGCAGTTAGATAGCAAGAAATGGGATAGTTGCAGAGGTCACCTGCAAAGAGTAAGGGTGTCTGTCTCTAAACTGCTTACAGCAAGATATACTTCCCAGTGAAAACCCATCTTGATGTTATGATTGTGGACCAATAAATATTTCACTTTCACTTCATACCATACTTTCACTTCATATAAACCTTTACTCCAAACCATAATTTGAGTTAAATGACTGCTCAGTGCTTAAATAGTGACTTCAGCAATAAAGGTGAGGTAAGATGGTAATTTACACATTTCCTCTGTTTTAAACAACTAAGTGAAGTCAAAGCTCGGAGGAGAAAACTACATTTTTAAAGTATGATAACCAGGAAGATCAGTCTTCATGAACAAAGCAGGTAGAAGTTACAGATGATCTAAGACAGTCTAAGGCAGCATCAACTACAGCACAGTAATTTCAGCAGAGTGATGCAGAAAGGACATGCCGATGCTGTATCACACAGCAGTGACCAGTCACCCTCTGGAGAAGCACGTCCTTATGGGAATTCAGCATTTGGATTGGGAGGGCTGTAGCCATAGCAGCAGGCACACAGCTCAAGGGCTTGCTGCAGGCTTCTGTTCTGTGTTACAGCTTACTCTCTCACAAAGCACAGGTACTCAGAGGCACACCAGTCCACTTCAGCACTAGGAGCAGCGTGGAGATAGCAGTACTTACCCTCTTCCAGATATGTGGGCTGAAAGTATCTGCTAAGTATGAATTATTGTATTCCAAGGCTGAAGAAGTATTCCATAGCACAGAATGCAGTATCTGCTTCTGGGTCATGAAGACAAAGCACAAGATTAAATGAGCTGCACTTACCTTCTGAGACATGAGAAGCACAGCCAGCTGATTCAGTCAATGAGCTAATTGTCTCAGAGTAACTCAGTCCCAAAACAGAGATATTCCTGTCCTGAATCCTAGAAGACTTTATTCAGGATGCTATTGTTTGACTCAGATCTTAGATATAGGGACACAAGACCTAACTCATGGGATCTATCCCACTTGATCATATCCCTTCCACACAGTTCAGGCACTGACCTGAACCTGCAGCAGAGGAGAGTGAGAAAAGGGGCTGGACCTAAACTCTGCACTGAATAATGCAAAAAAGTGCTTCAGGAGGCATGGATGAAACCTGCCTCCATCACATAGTTTTTTGCTCTGGATTAGCCAATAGAGTCATGGCCTTGGTGGAACCCACCAGTGTCTGGCTGGCCTGTTCTCCTGTCTGGTCCTTGGAGTCCATTTTTTCCCCTTTGTTTTCTGATCCTAATAGTTCATCTTATGCAGTAGATCATCAAGTGCCCTCTGTCACAAGGGCACAGAAAAAAATTGATTTGGATGCTACAAGGCCTCAGTCAAGGTAGCTAAGCTATCACTGTGTCATATTCCAAGTTACAGCAGCTCAGTACTTGGCACAAATGCATTGTAACTTTCAGAAAGCATTTAAGGCATGCAGTCAGTTTTTCACTTGATTCCTAAGCATGACTGCCTTCTAAGCTTCATAGCTCAGCTTTCCTGCAATGGCTTTAATTTTCCAACTTGATTCTGCTGCTACAGAAGAGTTTTAAACACTCTTGTACAGCCATAGTAAAAGTCTGAAGTACAAAAACAACACAGTGGGTCAGAGTCTGTTCCCCACTGTACCCGAAAGGAGGCAGGAGAAGTAATGGGGATTTTCACCCTCCCAAACACACAGTGCAATGCACAGTGCATTGTCTCACTTGGATGGACTGTTAACCTTCTCTTGGCAGCCCCACCAGAGGATTAGCCATTCCATAAGCACTGCAGCCCTGGAGAAGCCTTCAGCATATGACATCCTCTGTGATCCCTTCTCCATCCTGGAAAATTGTTCAGGGGGCTCTGCACGCCTGCCAAAACACAGTGTGCACTTGCCTGATCTGAACCAACCTTGAACATGAATCCCCAGAGTGAAAACAGGGACAGCAAGAACACAGAGGGCTAAGAAGGTTTCAACTCATAGCTCTGGAGAGAACTGCTGTGGCAACTGCAGATGCAGCCTTCACTCTTGTCCAGTATAGCCAAAAGGGAATCTTTTTTACTGATATCTCTGCTGCACTGTGCCCATCCCAGTGCAAGAGCAAGCCCAGGCCAGCAAGCTGGGCATGCAGTAGAAGGCTACTGTGGTTCTGGAATATGGCACTGAATAAAAAGTTTAAATAGATGATTTCCTTCATGAGGACCAGCTCTGTAAGGGCAAGACAGGGGACAAGAGGGAGATGGGGCATGAAGGGAAAGACAGCACTGACTCTTGCCTCTATCACCACCACCAAAGTCACTCTTGCAGCTCCCAGCAGTGAGCACAGAGAAGAGGTACAGGTAACTGAGAAACAAGTGGGTTAAAAAAAACACAGACGACAAAACCAACAAAATAAATATGCTCTCAGTCAGTTCTACAGAGAAACCATGTAGCACTAAATATACCTCCCATACAAAAAAAAGACCCACTGTTTCTTGCAATCTGATAAGGTCCCACACCCTAATCTCTTCATACTTTCAATGCCTTAAAAGAAAAAAAAACAAGCCAGAAAAAACAGCCATGTCTGGGTGAACTGTACTCTTCCCAAATAAAAAATTCACTCTGACGGTGAAATGAGATTAAAAGCAGATCTTTTCCAGGAGGCTCAAAAACATCAGGCAAATATTTCAGATAGAAACATTGCTTTAGGTTCTGTCACTAAGAGCCAGAGTGAGAGAGTGAGGAAGTGCAAGAAAAACCCGATTCCTTTCTTGACTAATGTCAAGGTCATGCAAAGGTGATAGCGCCACAAAGCTCAGCAGATGCCTGCCCATGACCCCAGCAGAGCTGGTAACTGGCCCAGAACAGGAATGTCAACAGTGCTTTACATGAACGAAACTGTCCTCACAGGCTGACATGGCCTTGTGTCATATATGAAGACCATTGACTTTGTTCTTGTCACTTGCAACATCCATTTCAATGTGGCTGAAGGCAGGGTTGTCAGTTCCTTCATCTGCCATGGTAAATGGTTTCCAGTTCAACACTTCCACTTTCTCTGGCTAAAAAACAAGAGACAAAAGCTATGCTGTGAAACAGAAGAAACAGTCTTCCTCTCTTTGACCTCTTTTTGGCCAGCAGAGTCAGGCCTGACATACAGGGTGCCTTGCAGGAAAACAGGTTGCTTGCTGACAGAGCACAAATACTCATTGCAGTAGATGGTATTTTTCTAGGGGCATGGAAAGTTTTGTATTGCATAAGGTACTAATTGTGTAAAATGTCCTTTCACACAAAATATTCTTGTCCTGCAAATTGTCTAAAGTGGTTTTGTGTGTGCAAAGTTCTAAGTGCTGTTTTTATGTGTAGTGATATGTCACCACTAGGTCTTTGAGCTATTGACTCCCAGCCCTTCATCCTTGCCCTGTCTGTGACAGAAAAGCAGATTAACATGTGTCATTGCCTTGATGTTGCGTTTCTGTTAAATAGAATGAGATATTGAGCTCTTCATGAGCAGAAACTTGCTTAGATAGCCCCGATTTTTTATCTCACCAACTTTCTGCATCATATGTGATGCCAACCACTTGTTATTCAGCTCTTAGAGATAGATACTTGTTTCTGATTCCAGGCATAAAATAAGTATGGCTGTGGACATTAAGTTCCATGTGGGTGGTGGACTGTTTTGGTTTTTTTTAAAATACTTCAGGGATTAAATCCCCAGGTAGTGGAAATAGATGTTGACCCATTGGAGAATGACAGTAACTGGATAGTTGATCTCCAGTACTGATATGGGCAAACAGCATTAGTAGCAAGTTGTATGGTAAGATATCCCTTTTTTCACTGGTGTTCTTATCCAGAAGCTGAAATGCATAGGATCATTCTAGAAGAAGTTGTCAGTATTGAGGAAAAATATTTTACAAGCTAGACCATCTTAAAGATATGTTTATTGTCTGAACTACTGAACAAAGCTGAGCTTGAATGTTCAGCTGATGATATTGATTGAAAAGTATTCTGTAGTTTATTTAAAAAAAAAAACAAGAAAATCCCCTGTATTCTCCCTTCTAATGGATGTTATTACCCAATAATATTTCCCCTTTATTATTAGGATGAGATCTAGGAAACAGATGCACTGACTAGAAAGTTTTTCTTTCAAACAGTAGCCAAAGTTACAAAACAAAATCAGACCTTAGAGAACACATGTTCACAAAGGAAGCTTTGCTGAGTCCAAGGTGTGCCTTGGGGCAGCTTCCCAGAGGCCAGTTAGGGAAGTTTTTTAGCAGAAACCTGGAGAAACCTATCCCTTTTCTCAGTTGCTTCTCTGTTATTGACTGAAGTTAAGCTGTGGCAAAACTGCTTCCTTGCCTGTGGCAGCTGCCTTACTCCCACCTGCCTTGTGCTCTGCTACTGCCTTAAAGCAGATAGTCCTATCAGGAAGCATCAGGTGCTATTCATCCTAATTGGCAAAACATAAGCCAGGAAATTTGTCTGCATTTGTCCCCAAGAGGAAAGATTGATTTAAATCAGAGATGCACGATTACACTTACTTGCTCAGTTTCAGACCGTGAGAAGTTGGATAGGAAATCTTCCTTGGTCAGCAGGTATTTACGATCCGTGTTCTGCTTTAGTCCTCCTACAAAATAGGCAAGTTTCAGCCAGCTTTACACATGCAAACCATGTGTCAGACCCCAGCTATGGGCACCAGGCCAGGCAAGCAGGACACAGTCATGCAGCAAAAGCTGTCAAGCAATCACAGACCTTAGGGATCATTTCTTTACAAAGATGTATATCCTGCTCTTCTCAATATATAAAATGATCACTCAAAGTCTATTTGAAATGCCTTAGCTATTTCCCAGTTTCCTAGATCCTCCTCAGATTTCCTATTTTGTAAAAAATTGAATCTGGAAATCAGCAGAAAAGAATTAATCACATACAGTGAGGTCTGAGACTACTCTGCCAGTCCAGGAGCTGTGGCACCAAGTGCTACCCTGAACCCTGAGCTCCAGTTCTCAGCTCCTGTCAGCAAGACTCCTGTCTCCAAACTCACCAGCAGTTTATACAGTGAATTATTTAAGGTCATGCCCAAGATGGAGAGATGAGGGTTAATGGAATATCTGGGCATTTTTAAGGCATGGAAGATTAGCTGTTCTTGGGAGGGAAACAAGAGATGTAGGTGCTGGGAATTAGCTCTGCTTGCCACCTGAGGCTTAACCGAAATCTTGCTCCATGAGAAGCAGGGTGACATTGTGGCTGGGTTAATTCTTTTGTGCTTCTGTTCTTGGGCTGAGTATTTCTCACCTGGATTTAGTGAGTTTTCTGGTTTTCACGCTTTGTTTCATGGCCTATAGGTAACCTGATCCCTACCTGGTAAAAAGCAGTATTTGGGTTCAAGCATCACTACAGCAATGGGAAGAGCATATGCTTGAAAGAAAGTGTGGAGCAAATGTTCTAAAAACTGAGAAGTAAAAGAAAATGAGATAAATGTAACTTGTGCTTATTAGTTGCAAGGCATAGTGAAGTTAATGGAAGTGAGTTTGTCTACTGAGTTTGGAGTTTCATAGTCCTGGAGCTGTTGTGGATCAGTTTAAAAATTTGAAATCTAACAGCCTCAAAGATGAGGGCTGTTATATGAACCTGGCTGGGGATACAGGGTAAAGCTGTGAGAACAGCTGCTTTTTTTGCTGTTTCTGCCATGCATGAGGTGAATGACCTGGATGCCAAAGTGGTGAAACCATGGGCTGGAATTGAACTCCCCACTCTTACCCATGACAAGCTGCTTTTTCCCTTTGCACAAAAGTACCAGGAAACTGAGAAAGAAGCTAAAATAGCCATGCAGAAGATCTGCAGCTCTTAGGCATGTTCTTGAGGAATGTGGTGAAAAGCATGCACTCTGTGGATGCAGACATCAGCCCCTGAGTGCTCTGAACTCACTCAAAGTAAAACTGCTTTTGTCCTCTAGAAGCATAGGTGTATATCATATCTTTGCTCGGAGTTGTTGCCATGTTCAGGGACCAGTCTTAAACCTCCAGCCCCTGCAGGCATCTAATAAAACAGGAAAGACAGATGTCCTTTTTTCTTCTTCTTTTTTTTGCCCCTTAGGTTTTAAAATACGCTGTAACTTCTTCCTCCTTAGAGTCTTGTAGTAACTTGCTGTGAGCAAAGATCAGGATTGGGATGCAGAAGCACCAAGGGGAGGAAATTCAATTTAGGATAGTAACCTTTACACAGTGTTGACAATAGGTTACTGGCACTCCCTGTGGCTCTCAGGACATCTCTGTTTGAAAGAGATCCGAGATGCATTCAATCCCTGAAACTTTCATTCAATACTCTGAAACTAGTACCTGTTAGGAGACTGATAATTATTCCCACAGCCACTGTGACAAGCGTCCCAAGTGTGCTGAAGTAGAGGTAAGACAAGGAATACCAGTTGTCTGCCAGGGCAGGCCTGAAATAAAGCAAAAAAAGTATTAATCTCTCCTTTTCTGTTCCAAACAACTTGAAAATGTTTGCTTCCAGACAGTGTATAAATACAGAGATACTTCTGAACCAAGCAACCTGGTAATCTTGATCTACCTCTATACAATCATATGTGCACTGAAAATTTGTTCCAAAATTTGCAGAACAAGTTCCTTTGTATGAGACAAGGCCAGTCAGTACAGTGAGGCAATGCATGAGACAGAGCAGGTAAAACAGGACAGTCCTGTCTCTGCTACAAATCTAGTGAACAACTGAACACTCCGGTTATCCGGATGAAGGGATTAATTTCTTTAGCAAGGGTGATGTTATTTAAAGGAAGGGACACCAAAAAAAAACCGACAAGGAAATCAACCCCATGAAGCTCTAAATAGCCAGAAACAATAGAGCAACTGTCTTTACACCTCATTCTGTTCTCCCTGAGTATGTGCTCTGTTGCAAGAGGTGTTTCCCAGCAGCCAGGAGCAATGCTGGAGGGCTCATGTGAGAGGTGTAGTCTATAAAACTGAATGTTGGGAACCCAGGTGGGTGTCAGGGTATCTCTTGACTGTACAATGCTCTAAGGCATAAGGATCTGGAAACCCTAGAAATGAGGTTTTTCAGCTTCTTTCTGTTCCTGCTGTTCTCTATATTGTCATTCACGTTAAATTTAATTGTGATCACCCAGAGTAAGACATTTGGCAGTGTCAGAGAGGAGGAAATCCCTTATATTGTGCCCATTCTGAATGTACTGAATAGAACTATTCTGCACAGACAAGCTGCTGTAGGTAGAGCTGCTAACTGGCATTTTGCCCTTTAACTGCCAATTACTTGAATTCATGTGACAGGTTGTGGAAGTTAATCCAATGACTATAAATTATATCTTTGTTCAAAACTGTGGTCCATAGTAAGGCATGTCCAAGCCTTTTGACTCATTTGAACAGAAGCTTTTCAGATCAGTATGAAGATTCACTTTGACTTGTGTTGTGAGATAACTCAGACAAACTTCAGTCTGATAGGAAAAAAAATAAAAATGGAGAAAACTGCTGTATCTCAAACAGTGTGGTAGATCAACCAGAGAAGGATACTTATATTAACCAAAATACTCTGCAGATGTATGTGTTTCTTTAAAAAACATACATGCTTTGTTACTGCACTTGATGAACTCATATACCTTTCTGCACCTGGTGTGCTGAAAACTGTTGTTAATGGAATTTCTGTTGATGTTAAATTTCCTGAGGATATATTACAGCCTGCAATCGAGAGATCAAGTGGCTTGGTCCTCTCTGGAAGTGGAGGATAAATCTGGGATCCAATTCCAACCCAAAGTGAAATAACGAAGCCACTGACAAGACCCACAAATGCCCCCTGCAAAACAAAAATTGAAACTTAGATTCACATGAAAAGCAAAAGATATTTGAAAGAAACAGCAACAGATGAGTAAGAAACAGTCAAGATAATCTAAACTGTAGTCTCCATAGCAGAAATTAAATAAACAGCTGGGAAGTGCTGGGGACTTTACTTCATTCCCCTTTGGGGAAATACAATGTTTTCTCCCACCTCCTGAGCATACCTCTTTTTATTTGGCCACTGTCTTTACAGTTGAAGGATAACTTTGGCCTGTATGGTGTATTGGAAAATCCTGCTTTATATGAGGCCCTCCTTGAACAAATACAGAAGCAATTCTTCAATTTTTTCATGTGACCTGTTTTAGCAAAAAAGTCTGTCCTATGTCAGGGGTAGGTGGGGTTTTGGCTGAGAGCTAGTAATTTATTTTTTTACTTTAGTATATGTATATAATTTGCAATAGCGAAGAGGTAAAGATCAGTGATTAGTAAATCTGGCAAGATAATTTTTTAGGTAATCCTGCCAGACTAAACCATGAACCATATTAACAAATTTGTCAAATCCTTTTTTTGATGGAAAAGGTTTTTCCTCTAGAAAGGATAATTTTACATATGGAAGCACTCTAAGAATACCCCAATTTGGTCTGCAAGTGCTTAGGCCCCATTTTCCTGACCTGATCCCCATTTTCTCAGACAGGCCAGGATTCTCTGAGCCTACTGGTTGTTCATCTACATCTCAAGATGCATTGTCCCTGCTTCTAAAACTGTTTTTAAGAAATTCTTGTCAAAGTTTCATTTTTATTCAGGTTATTTTCCCCCATCTAGATGTGTAAATCTCTTCATGGGATGGAAATTCAAGTCTCTATACAGCTCTCTTTGTCATTTCCTTGGGATGAGGAAGAAAGGGAACAAGGGGAAATGTACCAAAGACATCTCCCTTGCTGCCCAACATCAAATTATTGGTGTGAGAGGGGGAAGGAGATGCCCAAAATTATCAATAAATTTTGGATGAACCAGTCTTTAAATTACTACTTACAGTTCCATTTGCAAAGGAGCAGAGGATTCCCAAGGCGAACAGACCTAGAAGGGGCCCACCAACCATGCCAAAAATGCTGAGTGCTGCCTGAGGAAGGAAGAAAGTCTGCTATCAGGTGCTGTGCAAGAAAGGTAAAGCCTCCAAAGTGATGAGAAGATCTTCAGAAAGATACTATGAGACTTTTTTAACTGGTGTGTACACAGCTGCCAGGATTTGATATATGGATGCTTAAAACACAGGCTGAGCCATGAGCAGTTTCACATCAGTACCCAACAAAGAATAAAAACTAATTTCATAATGGTATTCAGCAATTATTTTCTTACATAATTTATTCTGGGTCATCCAAGATGGTAATGAAAAAGCTGTCTGACACTTACCTGCAACAAGGCTCCCAGAAGAGATGCCACTGCAGCCATAGCAATGCAGACTCCACCATAAAACAGGCCTGTGTGTGAAAGGCAGAACAATGTATAAATCTGCCAAAGTTTGAAAAGCACTAATGGAAAAGTTTCTGTCTAACCCAGCATGGCCCCAACATCTCCCAAATAAATGTGCTAACATCTGGAGTTTTCTAAGAGAGCCTGAAATGGCCAAAAGGTCAGGTTTCTGTTTACATTAAGAAGAGATCGAGCAAACTTGACAAAATCTTCTTTCTTTGTATTACTAAAGATTAGCTAATAAATGTCAGCCATATGGATTAGTCATGGTGGCATTAACCCACTTATTGTTCTTATTTCTCAGCTAATCTCCTGTGTCATTGTCCTTGTTTTGAGGAAATGATTTTCACTTCTTAGTCTAAAGTCTAGGAAGCAAAAGAGTAAATGCTGGCAGATCCCTGGGAGCTGGCACAGTGACAGAGAACATCCCAGGTCACCATGACATAGTGTCTCTTTCCAGGAGCCGTAACACTGGCTTACTTGTTTTTTTTTTCCAGCTCTACCCTGATGAGTTTCACTGCTCTAGCAAGAGGTTAATCTCACTATTCATTGTGATCAGGCAACTCATGATACCGCAAACAACATTTTTGGCATAAGCATTGTTTGCAATGTTTAAGAAACTCCTCTCAGGTGAAAATATTTAATACTTGTTACCCTCCCACCAGTCTGCCATGCTCCCTGGTATGGGCTATGACACCATGTTGGGACTGAGGTATTTTCATTCTTACTACAAACACTTTCTTGGGCTACACCTGCAGCTGGTCACAGACAGTACAAGTAGCAAACATGGCAAGTGCACTTCACAGATTTAAACCATCTGCTCAGTCTAGTTCTGATTCTCTTTGAGTAAGCAGAGGAGATAAACAGAATGACAGTCTGAGAGTATGTCACAGGAGATATGAAATTTCTTGTTCTCTGGACTATTTTTGGGATACAATGCTATTGCTTGCATATCAATTAAAAAAAAAAACAAACTTGTTACAAAAAAGCTTCCTTTGCTTCTCATTTTTGACAGATAAAAGGAAAATAGCAGGTGTTTAAGTCAGAGGTATTTGGCTTTGTAGATTTGTGAGTTGATACCAAACACAGATGCACCTTTCCTCATTAAAGACCAAACAAGATGGTTTCATTTTTTCCTTAAACTCACTTGCCCCCAATTTGTGTAAAACCTACGCAGCTGATCTTGTCTCCCCCAAGTGTTCCACCAACATAGTCCCACTGGTGTGAATTACTTCTCCCAACATACACCATCATAAGCAAGATCTGAATCAAACTTTCACTTTGTAAAGCAAAAGCAGAAAATATGTTTTCCATACTCATCCCCATGGAAATCCATGACAGCTTCTTTTCAGAAAGAGATTTGAAGTAGGGCTTAATGAGGTCTTCAACAGTCACAGCAGCCAGAGCATTGATGCTGGAGGACACCGTACTACAGAAAGCAAGATTTATACAATTTTTTATATCTTAAAAACTGAAATAATACATAACAGGTAGGTTACTGATACAGAGAAACTGCCACTGTCTAGAACAGTGTCAGAAAACTAATTTAACTGCTGCATAGGTCTAAAAAACTTATTATTCCAGAAAATGCAGTCAACAGCTTAGAAAAAACATTTGAAGTAATTATCCTTGGTAAACTCGAGGCACATACTGATGAAAAGTTGGGCTGGGCCTGGAGAACTGAATAGAAATATCTATTAGATATAGCTAGGCTGTAAACACTACTGGTATACATGATACCTTTACAAATGATCTACAGTATATATCTGGGTAGGAAAAATTCCCACATCACTGTTTACTTTTAATGCACTCTCAGAGGAGGATCCGGATAATCTAATCATGGTCACCTAAAAATTAGGCATCTAGTCCAAACTGAACTACTGTAGGTTCCCTGTGGGATCACAGAAACCAGCACTCCTAAGGCAAAAACCAGGTGATCTTTTGTCTGTGTGTACCTCTTGCTCTTGCAAGCCACCAGCTTTTATTCAGCAGGTGAAACAAATATTTTGGCTGTTCCCTCTATTTATGTAGCTACAAGTATTCAGAATAAAAAAAAAATAAAAATATTCCGGTGTCACATTTGTAAGTTTCTTCATTTCTATCTTCTTGCTATTGCTCAGAGCCTTCATTGAGAAAGACAACGTTTCTTAAAGATATTTCTTGGAAAAGCTGAACAAAACACTCCCCAGTATGGGATAGAAGGGTATGTATCAATCTGTCTCCTACAGTACAAATATATAGTGATTGTTATTTCATGGGATTCATTCAAGACAATTGGAAGCCCAGGAACCCTGGAAAAGAGGTCTCTAAAGATCAGGGGTAAGGAAAGGCAGATGGCTTTGAAGTTATTCGGGTTTGAAACTGGAAAATTAGATGAGCAATAGGAAATTTCCCCAACTGGAGCTATTTGGTGTAACCAAGCATCTACAATACTCAAAAATTCCTGTAGCAGATGGGCTCTAAAAGCACAGAGAAGGATTTTTTAGTGTTTTATATGACATGTGGCTAGCTGTTTCCTCATGTTGTTAGTAGCGAACTCCAAACAGCTTTGAGTCCTAGGACCCAAATATTGGAAATCATGGATTTTTAAGCTGCATCATCAAAGAGGTCATAGCAATTTTTTCAAAGAACAGAAATTAGCTAGACAAAGAAATAAGTACAAACGTTTTATAGTATAAATATAGTATAAATATGGTATAAATAAAGTACAAAAATTGTACAAATGCAACTTTAGCTCTAACAAAAAAAGGGGAAAAGAGGAAGTAGTTACCAGATTATTAAATTACCTTAATGTCCCACTATAGGCACTAGCCACAAAAAGCCCCGGCACTCCTGGAAAATCACGCATGATATCCAGCACTAGGAATGGCATTAGCTGAAAAATTCAGATTAAATAGTATTACCATCTTGCCCTAATTTTTCATTTTACCACTGTACTGTTTTTTTACAGCCTGCTCACCAGCATTCTGTCCAGCTGTTCTAATTTTTAATGCCCTATCTTACCCTATTCATTGATTTTTTTTTTCAGAGAACAACAATCCTAAAACATCCACTAGAGTTACAGAGAGTCTGTTGAGACCACCTAGCTGAGGTGCCATGCCATCAGGACCTTGGTTTCCAGTGACAATTGTAGAGGAAGCTAGGGCTGGGCAGCAGGTAGTCTGTACTGTACATCACTCCCTTGATGGTGCTGAGTGCCACAGATGCTTTTTCTGCTGTTGACTCAACAAAAAGGGGATTATATACAGTCCAATAATTTCAGATAATGGTACCTGAGATCAATTTCCTTATTGGAAACTGTGTGCCATTTTATGGCATTTGCAAGATCTGAGTGCTGGAAAGAGAGGAATTTGAAGATTTTCTTCCTATGAACCTTTTATTTTTTTACACACAAGATGATATTTTTAGTATCTCTATCAAATTAATTTGACTGATAACTACAACTTAATTTCCTTCTGGTTTCCACCTTGGCTCTTATTTTATTCTACTTTTAAAGACCAAGTGGTCCTGCCTCAGGTGCTCCACTGTCTGTGCTCTTCTGGCTTTCCAGCTACTGTCCTTTGGACCATTATCCAGAGCTTGTGATTATCTTAGACTTAAAAATACAAATATTTTTATATAATGAAATAATGAACTTATTTGATTTCTTTTGGCTCTGACTCTGGACAGTCTATGGGCTGCCAGAACTCTTGTTCCTCAGGTAAATCTGCTGCTCAAGGTCTTTTTAGGGAAAGGTTATCATCAGTGGTGAGGTGGTTTCTCTGCAGCACAGTTTGATGTTCCATCTCTCCTCTGAAGGAGGGAAGGATTCACCATCACTAGCAAAGACTTGCCCTCTGATAGCCTTCCTCCAGGTGTATGCTTTGGGCACAAGTATGTTTTGAATCTGAAAAGGATTTTGCCTTCATCAGCCCAGAGGAATTTAGGTTGGATGACACAAAGCACCTCACCAGGACCCACAGTCACTCACAAGGGCACTGCTGCTTTCTTCCCCTCACTTCTCTTCAAAGCAGTCTCATGCAATGCTGGCATTCCTGAACCCATTTTGAGTGAAAAACATTTGCAGAGATGTGTGGACTGAGCACTCTCTACATTGCAGCTCTCCCTGCTGCCCGCCCTACCAAGTGCTGAGGGATTTGCAGCTCCAGGATAGCTGGGGAATGCAGAGATGGAATAGTGCCAAGGACAGGTCTTCTGCTTTCTCCAGGGTGGTCCCTCACACTGTGGTCTCAGCCCAACACAGGATTCCATCATGTCACTGTTTTCAACCCCCTGATTTCTGAACTGCCTTTGTCTGGTTATTATGGCTGCAGAGAAAGGATACCTTTCCACCAGCTTTCCCCGAAATGTGGGGCCCTACCTGGTCAAGTGCCGACACCTGGTTGGACGTCCATGGGTCACAGTCTTTGTAGATGGAGTAGAGGGACAGCCCACACAGTGTGGCACAGGCCAGGATCGCCCAGAGTCCCACCAGGTTGATGTAGAGGGACCTGCACCAACACACATGGAAATGCCATGTTAGAACTCAACATCCCACAAAGACCCTGCCAGGGCCACGCAAGGAAGTGCCCACGCCTGCACCGAGGAGACCCCTGGTCAGTCACCATATGACTCCCAGCATTCCACCTGGAGTGAGGTCACATTTCCAAATGTACAAATGACACTTCTGGTTTTGGTGTCGCAGTCTGAGCACTTGTCCCCTGACAATGGAGTTGATGGCAGCGAAACAGCAATCCCCACATTTCATCATATGTACAAGTTGTACCTTGCAGGCAGCAGGCCAGAGGATGCTCTCTCCCCCATGCCACACCCCTTGACAAACCCAAGCGGATTTGTAAGGCAGGGTGCCCCAGATCCAACTGTGGGGTTATAGTCAGCACCAGCACTCCTTTGCCTCTGGAGCTGTAGGATCATGCTTACACAATGTTGGAGCTGCCCTTGTAAAGCTACAAATCTCCCATTTCCTCCTGAGACAGTCTCTGTGGGAAGCAGCAGTGAGAAACTGGGGCCTGGGACCTGGTCTGGAGCTACCTCCGGCTGCTACTTCCAGAGAGCAGAGATTCTCAATAAGCCAGGGCTTCCCCTTCATGATGAGTCTTGTATCATCCAGAAACTCCATCACCTCCCCACGTCCTGATGCAAGCTTCAGCTTCAGCTAATGGTGAGACCAGAAATGTGTTTTCATCAGGCAGTAATGCTGCCTATGCCACACAACAGATGGCTTCTATTGGCAGTGAAAAACACATTGTTTTCCTTGCTTAGTGAGGGCTTTTGTTTTCCATTTAAGTCTCTGGTTTTCTCAAATGTTTCTAAGCTCTTGATATCTCCTGGGTCACAAATCTCTTGGTACGTCCAGGGTCACAAAGTTCTTCTTGCCTACAGTGGTCATTTCAAGCAAACATACCCACTGGGAGCAAGGCCTTGAAAAACAGCGTTCCTTTCCAGCAGTTGCCTCCTGGTTATCTTTGTATCACTGATAGCGATTTAACTTCCTGACAAATCACATACTCTGGGCCTGTGCCAATCTGTAAGATCTCCTCTGGGAGGACATTTGGTTTCTGTGCAAATATATCCATGCTTCCAATCCTTCAGGAGGCCTTTTAGTGTTTTTCTTTCCCAAGAAAGCAAGGGTCTACAGCCTTCGTATTTCTGTAGAGGACCAGCAGGATGAATGAAGAAGTAAACCCAACTTTATAAGCCTTGTTAGACATTGAAATTGAGATTTTCAGAAAGGCATAATGTAGATTAACTAACTGAACTATCAGTTTTATACAATAGAAAAGTTGTTGGCAAGCACAATACAAACTCTTAGAAAAGACCTATACAAATAAAATTTATGAATTTATGAATAGTAGGGGAAACTCTGCACTTTTGCCTTGTATTTGCAATTAGGGGTGGTCTAAACACAGAACCAACAGGACTTCAAATTTTTCTCTAAACTAATTCAGTAAAAATGAAGCAAACCTCTTCTCATAGATGCTTACATATTGATTGGATGTCTTGAATCCACTTAGCTGAAGCTGTTACTGCACTGACATAATCTATGTTGATATACAGCACCCAGAAACTGATTTAGCACAAAATCTAACCAATGAGTAAAATCAATCCAACTCTTTTGAACAGATGTAATAGAAGAATTAGCCTAGAGACTGTAGTGAAGATTAGAACATCAAGAGGAACACATAGAAGCAAAATTCGTTTGTCTTGTTTTCAAGCAATTCTTGTTTTTAAACTGAGTCAGTGTTTGACAGAGAGCTGGTTTTTTTTTCCTTCTCATTTACATCCCAGCTCATGGAACACCCTATGACTAAGCACTGGAGAACAATAATTGTAGCATTGTTGGAGGAAGGTGTTTCCATTAATTCTGCATGAGTAACATGGGGTGGAGTTTGGGTGAAGTAGGCCTTTTGACTGCAGAAAGCTTATTTTCAATTGTTTGTTTCAGTCTGGCTCTAAGAATTTAGCACTGAAATATGCCAGCTGCTGATCTTGGAAGGAAAGTAGCAAAAATGTGTTAGTAGCCCATATTTTTCTGACAGTGTAGCTCTCCTGCTCTGAGTGCCTCTTATCATTCAGATATAAGCATTATGTTCAATTTGCCTAATGAACATTCGAAGATGACAGAATGTGCTACTACCTACCGGTGTTTCTTGAATGGGGTGAAATCCTTTCCCAAAGCCTGAGAAAATTCCTGTTCTTGTGCCACTGCTAAAAGCCTTCCCAAAACCTGCAAGTTTGGATCTGTGAAGGAATTATTTTCTGAGCTCTGATGTGATACTGTGCTGTCTCTTAAAAAGCCTTATAGTAAATGGCATGGGGGTAAGAAAAACCTATTACTTGGACCTGATGACATTTTGCACCTCTGTGCACAGATTAAATGACAATAAGAGGTACAGGCCAACAACATGACCTGCCAAATGTGTTTAATTACATTTGAAAATGAACTAGATAGTTACCACAGAATAGCAGTGTTTATAGTTGTGGCAAGCTGCAGCAATTATGCAAAATGATTTCTTCATGCAGAGCAAATATCTTGCACAAGTGAGGCACAAGTAAGATGCCACAGAGTCCAACCACGCATGCCAGCAGGACAGGGTTCTACTGATTAAGGCTCCATGACCATCAACATATGAGCCTAAATTCCATCCAACTGCCTACAGAACCAGACAGCTTCCAGCCCTGGCCAAAGCTGCTGCAACAGCTCAGAAAACCTACCCTGAGGCTGCCCTGGTGTCAGATTCCCTTTGGTCACACTCTGCTTCTGAGAAATTCTGGAGCTGTTTCTGCTCTCAGAGAGGGTAGGGAGGGTTCAAGAGAGGGGCACAGCCCCAAGCGGAGTAGGTGATGGGAAGAACAGCGTGACTGGCACACAAATCTGGCACAATGTATGTGTCTGTTCTCCCATACACAATCATTCCAGGGAGATGTGGGATGTGTCTGTAGTGCTGAGAACCTAGAACCAGCCACGTGCAGAGAAGCGATCTGGTGTGCTGGAGATGTGTCAGGGAACACTGAAGATAACAAGCATCAGCTCATTCCGGTCTGTGGCACAAATGGCTGAAAAGCGGATTTTCTTTACTGATATAAACAAAATATTCCAGTTGTAAATGGTGCGTGATCTTGTGGCATTTTGCTAGCTTTATGAAGTGAAAGACTTCATAAAGCTTCTCTGTAGGTCACTGTACCATAGGATGACAGAATGTATAGAGACTATGGTTATGATGTGTGCTTCTATATTTCTTCTATAAATGAACTTCATGAGATCACTAGTAATTCTTAAATCCTGAGCTGTGAACTAATGGAATGATACTAAAGATAAAGATAAGATAATAGAGCTAGTAAATATACTCCATTCTAGAGTAAAGGCTCATCAGAAATGTTTACATTCGAGGGAAAAATAACCCTCTGCCATTTTCCAGAGTTAATTCCTTAAAAAATATGTTGATGATTATTATGAACACAAAATACACAATTACTCAGTAATTTTATCACTGAATAAGTAATTTCTGGATTTTCTCACACTGATATTCATTGTTATGGAAAAAAGTTTTTAGTCTTTACTAAGACTAAAATCACCAAAAAATGATTTAGGTTTAATAGAGCGGCAATTCAAGATACTGTCTTGATATGACTTCAGTCTATAATAAGTACTATAGTATATACTACAGTATATACTATATATATAGTCTATACTAAGTACTATAATATTTGGTCTTTAGGTTGCACATAAACTTAATGCAGCTATTTCCATATGAGAATACTGGCACAGTGAAACATTCAGACACAAAGTTCAATGTAACAGCAATCACATGTAATTCCTATACCAGTACTTATTGCGACAAATTTCTTCAACCTGGTCCACAAAACAGAAGGCAAAAGTTGTTAACCTTTATAAATGTAATTTATACAGAAAAAATACCCCCACATTCCTTCTAAATAAGTCACTCTTATAAAGAACTTATATAAAGATAATAAAGAATAATAATAAAGAATAATAATAATAAATACTGATAAAGAATTAGCCACTGCTTCACTCAGACAGTTACTGCAAACAGTAACTTACAATTTTGCGTGGAATCTGCTTTTGCATGCAATGTATCTCTGGACTTGAGACTGGTTAACCCCATATATACCACTCCACGTGAAAGTCCCACCTATAACAATCGTCCAGAAGGTGTGCCTTTGCAAAGGATTGGGATCAAAGCTACAATGAGAGGAAAAAGAGAAAAAAAATTCAAAACATGAAAGTATTCTTAATATGTAAAGACCTTAATGCTTAGAGGAAATAATTTCTCCATGCTTGTTCTAATACAAATGTTCTTAACTTGGCCAGATTTTGAACATTAAGTTACTCTAACTTTATGTGAAGCCACAGAAAGCAAATTTTAAAACTCAGAGCTCAGATATCCTGAGCCAATGAAGCACTCTAAACTGTCCAAAGGTGAAGCTGGAGGGCTTTATTTGCCTATAAACTACAGTCTTATGTAAGGTTGCATGATAGCTGTGATGGTTGTGATGAAATGATGCTGCAGTAAAAAGTGTAATGTGCCTGCTTATCTAGAGGGACATCAGTCTAACACCAGTATAAAGGTGTGTTTACAATCCTAGCCTTTGTGGACAGAGGCTCTATAAAACATTTTGCTGGTTTAGCTTTAAGTAAATAGCAGATTTTAGGTGGCCATGAACAATTATTATTTTTAAATCAAACTTTCATATAGCAATAAATTATATTTATCTTGGTGAACATTGTAGCATTATTTCACCTATTATATCCTTTATTCCTTTTCTTTTTCCATCTGTTAACTCTGTGACTGGGAGAAGAATCAATGCAGTACAACCACTGCAAATGAGCCAAATAGATTGAAATAAAATATTATTCATAAGAAGAAAAAACTACCACAGATTAATTACTTACTGAAGAATTTGGTGAAGAATTTTGCAAACAACCTGATTAATATTGTGAACTGATAGACAAAGGACAGATCACTATACTTTTCATACTAAACTTTCACTAATAGCACTGGGTGAAGGTTCTCAGAAGAATCTTGCATTCATTGAAGTTTCAATAACTTTTTTACTTGAAATGGTCTTTGATTCAACATTGTCAGAGTGAATATTCTTGAACTTGTAAAGTGATATTTTTAGGCTATGATTACTTACAATAATGGAGGGTAAAATACTATTAAAACTACTTTTGTTTTTTTGTTTCAAGGAAAAGAAAAACATTTCCCTTTTTCAGATTAGGCAAAAATTATTATTTTCTCATTTGTTTTGGTCCAGTTGCTGAAATGCCAAATCAGCTGTTTGCAAATTGTAATTATAATACAAATGTGCTCTCTTATTCACCATTCTCTTTCAGTGGAATCCCAAATGTATCCTTAAAACACCTACTTGACAAAGTAAAAAGGTTTCTCTCTTTTCAAGATTTTGCATGGTGTAAAACCTAAAAAATATCCCTCAAACTAGGTAAGCTTGTTTAAAAATATACAGAAACTGGGTCACAACTTCAGCCTTCCTCCTCCCTCAGTAGCAGTTTAATTTCACAGTTAGTCACATGAGCTATATTTGTAGGATTAGAGAGGCACATCCTCTTCAAGTACAAACTCACTCCCAGAAGTTTAATCTTCCTCCATGGTAGGAATCATTTACAATACGTCCAATTCCCTCCTGAACCACCACAGCTCGTATGATCACAGATGAAAATCCAGCAACCATGATTCCAACCTGAAAAACGTCTGTCCACACCACTGCCTTCAGACCACCCTGCAAGAGGAACAGCACATATCAGGTACAACAAGGCATCAACACTCCTGCTCTGTGCTCACATTCAAGCAACAGAAACAATACCATCTGTATAATGTGCAATAGATTAATTTCATCTTCATCTTTGATGGAACTAATTCTGTTCTAATGTCTTTAGGAATTGTATTATGGAAGCTATTCAGGACATCCTGGCCCTTTTATGAAGTGCATGGGAATTTACTTTGGCCATACACATAGTTTAATCCAGTATTTCCTTCACCACATACCCTGATTCAGAAGTTTGTATCAAAAGATAAATTTTCAGACAGTGCTCATCTTACTTATTTACAGTACCACTAACTCCAGAAGGTATACCATTCATCTGAATAAAAATAAACATTATTCAATCCACCATATGCAAATAAATTTGCCACTGAGGTTCTGTTTCATCATTTCTAGACACTTGGTCAATTAACACTAAATTAAAGACCAATCTGTTCATGTTCAATTTATTTTCAGTGGCTCTCTTCAACAACACACAAGACTGTTACAGCTGCATTGAGGTTTGACAAATTGCACAGCAAAACCCTTCTAGATCTGAAGAAAAATCACGGAAGGATTTTTTGAAAGGGAAATCTATCTTTTTTTGCTATTCTTTCAGCAACAACAGAAGTTTGAGTAGTAACAAACAAGTAAGTATCATAACAAAAAAGATTTCATTTTCATACAGGCTGCCTATGCATTCAGAGAGGTCCCTGGATGAATAAGACCCTGTGGCTACACCTGCAAAATTTAATTCCTTGGAGTAACCTGATTATTAGGCTACTTTTTAATAAATTTCATATTTGATGAGAGTGGTGAAAGGAACAGATTTTTCTCAATTGAAGGGCTCATGTACCAGTGTGCAGTAGAAAGTGCAGACCACGCCAGTCGCCACCACTGCACCCCACAAGTCGAAGCCAGTGACTGAAAGAGAGGGAAATAGCACCAGTGTGAATGAGGCATTGGGGATAAAACATTTTGGATTGGTCAGTTACTGCAAAAAGCTAGAAATAAATTAAATGCAAAAGTAGGAGGTATAAATGGCAATGAAAAGATTAGTGTGTCTAAACCATGGGATTCACCCTAACCAGCTCTAAAACTGAAACAGTTATTACAGACTTGGAAACTACTGAAAGGCTGAGATTTATTTCAGGATGTAGGGAGCTATTTGCCTGTAATGTGAAAGCTGCCAAACAACATGTCCAATATGTCCCAACTCAGGAAGGTTTTAAAATACTTGTCCTTCCTTGAAACACCTGTGTATTTGCTACCAAGCCCTTAGGCAGGGATTTAAACAAGTAAACAGTATGGGGGTTCCCCATAGAGGAAAGGTTGTTCAAGCATTGTCTGGAAGAAGAATAAAAGCCTTTCTTTTATTCTTCCTTCTCTTAAGGCTCATATGTTTCTGCTATACAGCACTGAGCTGTGGTTGACATACAGGCTGTCACTGCCCTAGCTTGGCATGCTCACCTGCTGCCAGGCAGGGCATCAGGGGGCTCCCTGACAGAGCCAGATTCTCAGGCTAATGAGAAACACTGAAACAAAACTAGTGAAAAATATAAGTTATTCTAGTTAGGACCCAGCTAAGTCAGAGCTTGGTTTAGCATTTATTTGCCAGGCAAATATAAATATCAAAGACCCAAAACCTGTAGGACTTATACTCTGGAGGAAATCAGTACACAGAGTGTTGGGGTTTTTCTTCCTTTTTGTTCAATGAACAGGGAAAAAAAACATTCAATAAAAAGAAAAACTATGACTTGATTCTAGACAAAATGATTAATTTTTTTATTTGCATTTTGTTATTTCCTTTTCTTGCCAAATGAACAAATTCATGGTGTCAGATTAAACGTTTGAGTTGGCTCCATAGAAAAGCTTTTGCCCTTTTAGAAATGAATGTGGCTCATTTTCAAATCAAAGAGTCATTGTGAAGTAGAAAATGGACATATTTAACTTAGTAAATAACACAATAAATATCTTAAGTTAACAACCTCTTTGCTGTTGACTTGGTTTTCCTGGAAAAACAACAGACCATATTAAACAGTTCCAGGCAGCCCAAAATAATATTTACAGAACTTTTGTCTTCCTCTCATCTTGAAGATTAGCACTTAACCAGAGGAATTAAATTTGTCTTTAGTGCCTGCATTGCCTTCAAAATTTACTTAAGTCTTCTCAACTTTTCTGAATAAGCCATTATCTACAGGCATTGCATCAGAGGTAAAGTAAATGAGAGCCAGTTTTCCCATAAATCTCTTCTGTAATTCCTTACAGGCAGGGATTAAGGGACTAGGATTACAGAATTCCCATTAAAAGACTTCACAGTCAAGCCTTGAGCGATATTTTCAGGTGTTGCATTACCAAAAAAACCCCACCATACCAATACTATATACAGAAGAAATTTTATCAGTAGAGGAACAGTGGCAGTATATTCATCTTACCTTGATTTAGTGCTAAAGCTGGAGCATAAATGACAATACCAGTGTATAAAGTCTAGAGCGGGGAAAAAAAAATAAAATAAATATCAAAACAAATTTAAATTCCTGGAAAGGTGATAACTTTCTGAGATTATTTCTTTTCAATCATCTATGTAGTCTATATTTCCTAAATGCATAATTGTTGACAAATAATTCCAATTAGAACACAAATATCTGAGGCTATTAAACTCTGCAGTCTCACAGCCTAGTGTTCTTAAAACAAATACCAGGGACTCTTAAATATAAAATCCATCTTCATCTTCTCCTGGCTTTTATAATTAACTTATTCTATTCCTTTAAAACTGCAAGGGAAACAAGAGCAAAAGTAAGTTAATGAGGTTTACACATGGTTTGTCAAGAAATCTATTACTATCATTTTCTCAATCTTGAGATCAATATGCCTTTCAGTATACAGCTATAATTTGTGTGAGTAAGAACACAAAATATGACATTAATTAGTCATTACAGACAGAGTTACATGGAATTATAACCTTCAGCTTTCAAAATGAAGCCATATGTGACTGTATTTTCAACCACAGTAAAGGTACAAACAAATCAAGGAGCTACACCATCTACCTTTGTGGGCACAATGGGATCCACACACTGATATCCTTAATTTATTTGTATATGGTTTTAAATCCTGCTTGCTTTTTTAGCACTTTTATTACTGCTACAAGTTCAGCTGTGACATGGCTCAGGAGAATACAGTTTCCAATGTGCTGATGGCTTCTGTGAAGGTCAGTGGTCTTGATTCAAAGCATCTGGATGACCAATATGTTGTGAAGTGACGTGCATCAGCTTTCCATGGCTGGACTCTTCCGACTTTCTGATTTACAGGGATGTGATTTGGGTATGGAAAAACAGCAGAATCAGGTGTCATCCAAGATTTAGCCAGCTTCTGCCCTTCCTGCAAGTGTCCACACCAGGCACAGGTGACAAACCAGAGCAGCTAACCACTGAATTACTTGCCATGGCTTTTGAGCAAATGAAAACCAGTCCCCGAGGTGGAGCTCTACCACATGGCCAGTGGCTATGCTGGGAACAGAGCCAAGAGGTAACAGGAGTGAGCAGTTCTCTTGCTGTATGAGGAAATTCGTATGGAGAAGCTGCTTCACCCAGCCTAACCTAATTGCCCTTGCCCTCTGCTGCACACCTGCTACAAGCACATGCCAGAAGGGATAGGGGAGCCATTGGGGAAATAGTTATTCCTACCTGTGTGCTACTCCCTGCCACTGTGTGTGCATGTTTGTTTCTCTCAGTGCCATGAGTCCTCTCTTGATTTTGAGATATAGCTTGTGTGACATAAGAGCTGCCAGTTCTGACTAGTCCCTGGTGAATGTCTCCTCACATCACCTCCCAGCCAGCTCCTGACACCTGTCTAGCCCAGCCAATGTTTAACTTGCTGTCCATACAATGACTGTCAGCATGTGCTGCTGAAACATAAAATCATAGATTGGTTTGTGTGGGAACGGTCCTTTAAAGAACATCTAGTCCAATGCTCCTGCCATGGACAGGCACATCTTCTACTAGATCAAATTGCTCAGAGCCCCATCCAGCCTGACTTTGAACACTTCCAGGGATGGGCCATTGCACTTCTTCTCCAGGGTATCTGGTCCAGTATCCCACTATCCTTGTTACACATAATTTATTTTCAACTTCTTTATATCCACTCCAAATCTATCTTCTTTCAGTTTAAAACTATTGTCCCTTGTCCTTTCACTACAGGCCTTGGTGAACAGTCTCTGTCCACCTTTCTTATAAACCCTTTTGAAAGGCTGCAATAAGGTCTCCCCACAGCCTTCTTTTCTCCAAGTTTAATAATTAATCCCAACTTTCTCAGCCTTTCTTCACAGGAGAGGTGTTCTACCCCCAAGACCATTTTTGTGGTCCTCCTCTGGACCCTCTCCAAGAGGTCCATGTCTTTCTTGTGCTGGGGACCCCACAGCTAGATGCAGTACTTCAGGTGGGCCGCATGAAGTGGAGTAGACAGGGAGAATCACCTCCCTTAATCTACTGGCCACACTTCTTTGGGTGAAGGATAAAATTGGCTTTCTGGGTTGTGGCCAGACCTTTTGGCTTGTGTCAAATTTTTCATCCACCACTATGTCCAAGTTCCACTCTGCAAGGCTGCTCCAAATCAGTTCATCCTTCAGTCTTACTGATATTTTTGATTGCCCCTATCCATGCGCAGGACCTTGCACATGTGTTTGTTGAACTTTATGGGGCCACTCCTCAAGTCTGTCAAAGTCCCTCTGGATGGTGTCCTTTCCCTTTAGCAAATCAGCTGCACCACTGAGCACAGTGTCATCCACAAACTTCCTGAGGGTGAACTCATTCTCATTAGCTATGTCATTAATGAAGGTATTAATGACATACTATTAAATAGTATTGGTTACAGTACATACAGCACTCATTACTGGTTTCCATTGGAATATTTAGCTGTTGACTGCAATGTTTTGGATGCAATCATCAAGTTAATTCTTTCTCCTTCTAATAGACCATCAGTCAGACTCGTACCTTTTCAAGCCTGTTAATTCAAGGGATTCAGCATGAGAACTTGCAGCTTTCTCATACACACCAAGTAAGTGTCAGAAGTTTGAACCGTCAGAAATTAAAATTTGTCACAATTATGATCACATTTTTGCGTCAATTTAAACAGAACTGGAACAATCTTTCCACTTCTTCAGTAGGATTTTTTTGGTTGCATTATTATATATCCTTTTCTTTACTTTCTTTTAAGTATTAATATTCACAGAAGAGTTAAAATTGCACCATTGAAATCTTGGGAGGTTTTCTTTCCTCACTAGTATTTAATTTATTCAGGTTAAATTTTAAGTGCTTGGCAGAGAAAGACACATACAGATCTTTGGTTAACTTTCTTGTTAAGAAACTTTCTTGTTAAGAACTTTCTTGTATAGAATTATTTTTATCATCTTTGCAGGCAAAGATTATGCTTAGCTCTTCCAACTTATGCAACTGTGATGTCTTCACATGTGCTGGTGAAACAATGTCAGGTTTCACACATGCCAGCACTCTACTTTTTCCATGAGCTTGTGCATCTGTAAAAACCTGTAAAAGCTAAGCAGCACTGCTCAATTATGTAATGAGCACTGCATTGGGAACCATCTTACTGGTCCAAGCGTGACTGCCCTGTAAATTTTGGTGTGCCTTAAGAAATACAAAAATGGACAAAGAACAAGCATGTAGCTTAGAAAGTTTTCTGATTGTATAGTCATTCTTACTTTGAATTACCCCAAAAATCCACTTCCAAACTGTGAAAAGAACACATTTTTGTTCTGGTGCATTTGACATATGGTCACTGACATTTAAAAACTGTGGTCCCTTACTGACTCTTTGGAAGGGCCAAATACAGCAAATTACCAACAATAATTTCAGAGATTGCTTTAGTTTAACATTCCCCAGGGCAGGAATTTTCTACTTTATCGTTTGAAGACACCTAAGGTTTTTCCAGTGGTGGTGGTGCAAGCCCTTGTGCAGTGAGTAAATGACAGCTCCTGACAACCTGTTTTTTCACCTCTCATTGACCTTTGATAATTAGTCAGACTCTGAGAATCCTCACACCAGAGGATGAAAACTGCCACTGTAGATAATTGGCGCGTGTTTACATTTTGAACTCATTGCAGGTTTCTCCAGTAGGCAAGCAAATGACTCCTCTTCATGCTGTTATCCTGTAGTGAAGGGTTGCTCATCTCTTGGCATGGTGCTGGTGTCAAGTGACTGCTCTGGGTATTCAGTAGTGCCCACAGAGACCCAAGAGGCAGATAGCCCAGCACCTGCTCCCCACCTCATTGCTGTGGAGCAAAAAGAACTTTGTTTCTCCTCCTCCCAGCCACCCAGGCATTGTGGTAACCTCATCAGCCGCTCAGAGAAAAGAGCCAGTTACACCCAACCAAATAATTCTGGTGGCCCTGAGGACCACAGAACAGCTTTGAAGTTTACTTGCCGTTTGTATTATGAAAAGGACCGTCCCACAGAAGCGTAGATATTTATTAAATCGAAGTTCTAAATACTGCAAAAAAAGAAGAAAAAACAAATGCTTATGTTGAATTTGGCACTATTGCTAGGACTAGAGTGATGAGATGAGCAATACAGAAAGAGCAGAGAGTAGTTTTTACATTTTCATGAATGGCTGAAACTCCTAGACTCCCCTTCTTTGGTATCTCTTTCAACTTGGTTCGATATTTCTTTACAGACCTCACCACTGCATAATAACACACAAACAAGTGAAGTAGACATAAGCTAGTCACTATACAAGGGAATCTACAGAAAAGACCAGACATATTATCACAGAATCACTAAATATGCTGAGATGAAAGGGACAAAGATATAAAAGAACCATCAAGTCCAACTCTTGACTGCACAGGGTAACCTAAAAGCTGACAATGACATAGCAGCCAAAAAATAGAACCTGCTAGTTTTGTGAAAGCAGAGAGAAAAAGAAAACATTGTGACTATTCCTACATCTTAGTCAGTTTGGAAACTCTGGTATTTATATGTGTCCATCTGAACTGCTGCAAGAGAGGGCAAAAGATTTTCAGTGGTCAGCAGCTTCTCCCTGTGTTAATCTCACCTTCTGCACTGCCCAAGGCAGCCTGCTATATTCTACTGGTAAGTCAAAATTTAGCCTTTTGTGAAACAGGAACTCTCACTTTCTATCAAGCCTGGAACAGCACAACCTCTAAATGAGTCTGTCATGCTATAGAGCAGATTTCTTACCACTATCTGTCCTAAAAACCCTCTTGGTGTGTGGTTGTACAAAAGAAAACTCATTTGTCTGATGAATCTGTTCAATCAACACAGATAAATACTGAAGTACCTCAAAGGGCTCACTCACGAGCTGAGCATTTAAAATGTGATCTGTGAGCATGTCCACACAGGGAAGCAGTCTTGAACCCCTGGACAGACACAAAAGGTTGTTAAAAATCTGAACTCTGTCCACAAATAGAAGATGTATCTTTTATAGGTACATTACTGATTCAAGTAATAATAGTGATAAGATAACCAGTGAGTTTCCCGTCATGATCATAAGCCTGTATTCAAAAGAGCCCTATTTAAGTGTCATCATGACAGTCCAAAGATTAGCAGATTAAAATATACTGGAAGACACCAGAGAGTTCTGTTGTTGAATTCTTATCTAAATCTACCAACACAGATCTTGTTTGCAGCCTCCAGTGCTGCAATGTCTCTGTTCAGTGTAATAAAATGCTAAAGACCAAAGTAGCCAGTGAAGGACTTTCACCTGCACTGATGCTCCTTTCCCAAAGTCCTCTGCAAAAAGAGCAGTTTGCTTCCAAATCTGCAGCTAGGAACTATCTCCATGCAGGAAGATAAACAGGTTACATAGACATTCTGAATCAGAAGAAAGCACTGACCAGGTGCTTGCCCACCCCAAAACTCTCAGACTTGACCTGTGATTATCCCACTACCCCAGCTGTCTCTGTGCTGATTGCTATAGCTTTAATTTGCATGCTGGGCTGAAGACCAGCTCAGCCTTATTTTGGTGGAAGAAAGAGCTTTTTCTGACTTCCCTGTATAATTGTAATAGAGAAGACACTCAGTAAACAACTTCAGGTGACAAGGGGTCTCTTGAAAATCTCTAGGAACAGCACAAATACATACTCTGACAAAGGAGGACTTTTGTGGTTGCACCTAAGCTTAGAAACCAAACTCTGGTTCCTATAGTAGATGCTTTTATGCACTAGTTTTGGTATATTAATTACGGATGATTAATGACATGTCACCATCCAAGCTGCACTAGGATTAATCCACCTACTGAACTGAGTATCTGGCATGAGGAAACAAATCTGGTATGACACACAGCTCCTGAGCTAAGGCAGCTGGGTTGAGCATCACCTGTCTGCAGAGACAGCGTGGGCAGACTTGAGGACAGAGAGGGTTGTAGCCTGCTCTCAGGAGAAAAGTGATATAGGACAGCCAAGAGTGCAGGGAATTTGGAGGAAGAGAAGATGGAGGGCAGACATGTAGAAAGTGGGCATGAGAAGCCTCCCAGCTCCTTACAGCTGGGGAGAGTTTCTTTCCACTCCACCTTACCTCATAGGTGCTGGTAATTCCCAGCCTGTAGAAGACGGGCAGGAAGATCTCAGCACTGCACAGCACCACCAGGGCGTAGGTGATGGCAAAGATGCAGAAGACGGCACCGTAGCGATAGATCTCAGCAGGGGTGCCCAGCACCGTGACGGCTGACATGAAGCTGGCGGTGAGAGAGAGGGCAACCGGGAGGGCACTCATGCTCCGGCCTGCCATGAGGAAGTCCTTCGATGTCTTCTGTCCCCCTCCCACGAAGGCATAGTAGACACCAATGACGGCTGAGATGAGCAGCATGGCCGCAAAGACCACATAGTCCCATACGGTGAAGCGCCCCATTCTACCGGAGGAACTCACCCTTGGAACCGTGAGCCTTCTCCAAAATCAGAGGGACAGCTGCAGGGCTGGCATAAGCAGGAGGAAGCAGATGGGAACGGGTCCCCGGGGAGGTGGCCCCCACCGGGGCTGGGGCAGGTGCGGTGACACCAGCGGGACAGAAGCAAAAAGGTGCGATGCGGTGTCCGCGGATGGGCCAGGTGCAGAGCGCTGCAATGCAGTGTCCCCCGCCGGGACAGGTGCGGTGTTCCCCGCCGGGACAGGTGCGGTGTCCCCTGCCGGGACAGGTGCGGTATCCCCTGCCGGGGAAGGTGCGGTGTTCCCCGCCGGGACAGGTGCGGTGTTCCCC